GGATCTAAGAGGCTAGAATGCTGAAATCTTAAAGGAATGTTCCACGTCCAAGTGGATATTGATATGCTCGAACTCAGCCCCCGGACATGCGTGGTACACAAGCACGGGCTCGCCAATTTTTTTTCTTTTTTTGGGTAAGTTAATAACTCGAGAATTTGAAAAGCTAAAGGACTGTAATTTTAAGAGGATATTCCTCGTTCACCTTAGTCTCAATGAGCTCAAACTCAGCCCTCAATTATGCTTGGTACCCACGCATGGGCTTACCAAACTTTTTCTCGTGTAAGTTGATAACTCGGGAACCTGAAAAGCTGAAAGACTGTAGTTTTAAGATGTTCATCGTCCACGTAAGTCTCAACAAGCTGAAACCCAGACATCGGATATGCGTGGTGCCCACGTGCGGCCTGTGAAAGTTTTCTTCCAGTAAGTTGCTAACTCAGGAGCCAGGAAAGCTAGAGAGCTAAAATTTTAAGAGGGTGTTTACTGAAAGTTCTGGCGGCCAGTCTTAATTTGTTAAGCTAGAAACATTTGCCAAAAAAAAACCGATGTTGGTAGCGAAAAAAACTGCGGAAAACTATGCAAAAAACGTATCTTCGCACAGGCAGCCGTGCGTTGGCCAATTATTTTTTTTCCAGGCTTTTCGCACGGTTTTTTAATGCGTTTTTGCCTATATGCAAATTGCCAAAACGCATATTGCGACGACCCTGTCTGTGTGTGTATGTTTGTGTGTATTCGTCTGTCCGGGTATTTCAACACGGCAACCAAGCAAGTTCCAGCGTCGAGATTTTGCTATTGGGTGCCCGTACTAAGTACCACCCCAGAACCGCGGTACCATCCCTCACGCACGTCTGGGCCCCGCGTATGAGAAGGGGAAAGTTTTGGCGGGGAAATTGATATCTCAGGAACGAGAAAAGATAGAAAGCTGAAATTTTGAGGTTATATTCCCCGCCCAAATATAACTCAAAGATTTCAAATTTAGCCCCCAGGTGTGCGTGGTTCCCGCGTACGGCCCGTGGGATTTTTCGGCGTGAAAGTGCCTAACTCGGGAACTAGCAAAGCTGGGAAGCTCGAGTTTTCAGGGAATGTTTCCAGCTGGTGTACGACTTAAAGCCATAAAATTCATCCTCCAGGCATGCGTGGTTCTCACGCACGGCCCCGCGAAATTTTTTGGTAGGAAAATGGCTAACTCGGGAACTAGCAAACCTGGGAAGTCGAAATTTCCAAGAAATGTTCCTAGCCTATGTACGACTTAAAGTTATCAAATTCAGCCTCCAGACATGCGTGGTTCCCGCGTACGGCCTCGTGAGATTTTTCGGAAAATGGCTAACTTGGGAATAGCAAAGCTAGGAAGCTGAGATTTTCAGGGAATGCTCCCAGCCCATGTACTACTTAAAGTTACCAAATTCAGTCTCCAGGTATGCGTGGTTCTTGCAACCAATGCAATACAGTGTGCTTATCGAGAGACCCAAGTTTTCAAAACTTATAAAACATCAAAATTTAGGTTCTAAGCAGCCAGTGAGTTCTTTTATCAGTCCGAATTGGAATGTGTTTATCGTAATTTTTTTATGATTTTGATAATAAAACCGTGATTTTTTATTCAGCCAGTTTTGAATAACAGAAAAAAAAAACAAATATTTTTCATGAATCATTCAAAAAATACTGCGCACTGTCGATAGGCCACAGTTCGCAAACATGAAAACAGCAATTCAAGAAGCATTTTGATTTGTTATTTTAAACACAATTTAAAAAACTGAAGACACTGAGATCGTTTTTACAACATAATTAGACGACACTGGTCACACAGCAAAGAAAATTTTTTTTGTATAACAGCGGTTCTGAATATGTAGCAAACATTTGCGACTCAATAATTTACTTCTTCTTGATCCAGGACTGATAATGTTCGAAAGGTGGTGCACCTCAACATACGCACACACACACACGCACACACACACACACACACACATATACACATACACACCCCAAAGGCTACTTAAGCCTTGCCTAGTACTACTGCCAAGAGAACCGCTGAGCTGATAATTCCCTCAGAAAGTAAAAC